ATCTGGATGCAGACATCCACGGCTGGGCCCCTGGTGGAGCACTGGGAGTCTAATTAGTGAGAAAGAAGAGGGTTTATATGAGCGAGAATTGTTGAAGCCAAGGTTGAATAAAGCACAGGGACAAATAACCAAATGAATGGAAGCACATGAACTATGAACCAAACGCTGAGGGGCCCCCAACTGGATCAGGCCCCCTGAACGGGTGAAACAGTCATTTGGCTTGATCTGTTAGGGAGGCAGCTGTGTGTTGGTGCCGGGTCCTGGGCTCGTTGCATGAGTTGGCTGTTTGAATCCTGGGACCTATGCAGGGACGCTTGGCTTGGTCTGGGAGAGGGGGACTGGACCTGGCTGGACTGAGTCTACCAGGTTGATCCCGGTCCTCGGGGGAGACCTTGATCTGGAGGAGATGGGAATGGGGGTTGGGGTGGGGGGAGGGGGAGGGGGGCGAGAGTGGGAGAACAGGGGAATCTGTGGCTATTATGTTGAACTAAATGATGTTAATGATGTTGTAAAATAAATTTACTAAAAAAAAAAACTCATGGAACTAAAAATAAAAAAAAACACACACACACAAAAAAAAGAAGAGGAAGTTAAACAGGCAGATGAACCCACTGTTGGCAGCAACAAAGAGACCAAGGGTATGCGTGTCCATACAGACAAGTTCCAACAATGGGTACAAGTCACACATAAAATGGTCTATGATGTTGGGGCCACAGAAGGGCAGCCAGACTGTAAAGAGGATCTGAACAGTTGCATGGATAAACCCTCCAGTCCAGGCCACTCCCACCAGAAGAATGCATAGCCTGTGGCTCATGATGGTCATATAATGCAGAGGTTTGCAGATGGCCACATAGCGGTCATAAGCCATCACTGTCAAGAGGATGATCTCAGTAGCACCAAAAATGTGCTCTGCATAGACTTGTGCCATGCATCCATTAAAAGAGATGACTTTCTTCTCTTGAAGGGAGTCCACAATCAGCTTCGGAGCTGAAGAGGAAGTGTAAATCGTATCTATCAAGGAAAGGTGGCTCAGGAAGAAGTACATGGGGGAGCTCAGAGCCTGGCTGTTGATGATGGTGACCACAATGAGCAGGTTGCCTGAAACTGTTACCAGGTACAGAACCAAAAATGTCACGAACACTGCTTTCTGCATTTGGGGGTTCTGTGTAAGACCTATCAAGATGAACTCAGTCACGTTCCTTTTATTCTCCATCTGTATGGTGTAGTTTATTTATTCTTGAACCAGAAAGTACTATTTTTACCTTTAAGAAAAAAAATCATAAAATAATTTAAATATTCTAAAAATTCTGTATATTCATCATTCTATTGTTTCAAAGATGAGGCCCTGTTTTTCTAAGTTTTGTAAAAATGGAAATCTTAAATCTTTTCTTATTTGACTTTTCTAGTCTTTTTTCCCCTTAATCTCATTAATAGTCTTATAAGACAGGACATCAAGAAGAAAGGAATCACATTTCCCTGGGTCAAAGCAGCAGCAGCAAATTTGTTTTTCCTCTAAAATGCTAGAACATTGTAATCATTAGACGTAATAATTTTAGAAGTTAGAAAGACCTAAAACAAGGTGAACTGGAACCATAACATAGCTCTTTTATTCTGGTCATAGTTGTGTAATTATGCCAGAGGCAAAAGTTAGTGATAATGACTATGGAATCAACATTCAAAGACTTTGTGTTTTGAGTGCTTACTTCAAGAATAAAATTAAAATGGAGTGTTTAAACATAAAAAAAAATTTAGTTTTAAAATTAGAAAATGTATTTCTATTTGAAATGACATTATTTGCTAATGGTAGTTTATTGTTTTCTTGTGAACTACTATACAACTAAGAAAGAAAGTTTATTTCAATGCTCGGAGCCATGTCTGTATAGTAAGGCAAACACTACAGGGACAACTGTAAGCACTGCACAGAACTATACATACGTATGCTCCATCTTCCCTCTCTCATGATTGCGGTGACTTTTTAAACCTGGTGTCACAATCTTCTATTTGTATAATGGTTTCAGGGTGGTTGCAATTTGGAAGCTTGTAGCAGGAATCTTAAAGAGTCTTATTAATAAAATCAAACCTGGAGCCAGTTATTGGGGTGAATGCTGGAAGATCAGAGAAGCAGAACAAGCCACAGCCACCTCACCTCGCCAGTTCCTCAGCTGATCCTGTTTCCTCAGACTGGAAGCCTCTGTGTTCTCATCTGAATGGATCTCAGCTGAACTGCTGCTAAAAGCTAAAAGCTTAACCAGCTGAATGCTTCTAGTTTCTCACACCTTATATACCTTTCTGCCATCACTCACTGGGATTAAAGGCTCACTTTCTGGAATTAAAGGCGTGAGCCAAAATGCTTGGCTGTTTCCAATGTGGCCTTGAACTCACAGAAATACAGGTGGATTTCTGCCTTTGGAATGCTAGAATTAAAGGTGTGAGTGCCACCATTTTCTGGCCTCTATGTCTATCTAGTGACTGTTCTGTTCTTTGACCCCACATAAGTTTATTAGGGTGCACAATATTTTGGGAAACACAATATCACCACAGAAGCTCAAGAGGAACATTTTACACTCACAACTTTTGCTTCTTTGTCGCTAATTAAGAATTTCTGAAACGAAGGTTTTGTTACTCCACTATGTATGTGTGTATAATGTAGATTATCTAGATTACCAACTAGATTATCTGGGAATATGGTCATGGATCTAGACAGCTAAGTTACAATAGCAATTAGTTTGAGTGGGGAATAGCACGTGCGCACGCACACGTGCCAGCAGGTACACACACACACACACACACTCAGGTGAGGGGAGGTGAAAAGCGAGATACTGATTGAATTGCTGGCTTATTTGCATGCTTCAAATTTCATCTTAAATTAGCATTTACAAAACCGGATTATACCAGTTATTATTGTATATTGCCCTTTCTTTTGTTACCTGGCACCTGTTACACACTCCTCTTTCACCTCTAGATAGTTCACTATGGATTACATGCATAATGAAAACAGAGAACGTATCTACTGGGGCCAGTGTCACAGGCATGTCGTCATCTATTCTGTCACACAGGAGTCCACATTCAGAAGGATGACATTCCTATTTTAATGCACTATTGGCCCTGTATTGAAATTTGAACACTGGTCTTGCATTTGCTTCTGACTTGGGCTCCTGAAAGTCATACGGCTGATTGATCTTGGTTTGTACTCTATTTTTTGGATACTGTCTGGTGCATAGACCAAGATTTGTCACAAAATAAGAGTTGCAATGCTAATTTATTTCGTTAAGCTGAAAGAAGTACCTTGGTACATTTTTGGAGCTCTCTGATTCTTAAGCTATAGAATAAAGTCATGAGTTCTGAGTATCTAAGACCTTGTCTATGTGCTGGGATTTTAAAAAATGTTTTATAGTGCTAAGCCCATGGCTCTGAGATGGGCACTCCTTTTGGCTTTCTTCTTCACAGAAGAGTAGCACCATCACAGCAAAGCCCATCAGGGCCTAACTGAAAGTTTTATATATCAGATCAGAGAAACATATTTTTAGCCATTTCCAATGTGATACTTTTCATACCCTACAAACTTCACTAACACCTACAAGCTGCAGAGCTTTAGAAACCCCTGTGCTGCAGGGACTGGAGAGATGACTCAATGGCTAAGAGTATGGTTCCTCCTCCAGAGGTCCTGAGTTTGATTCCTGGCACCCACATGGCAGTTCACAACCATCTGTAGCTATAGTTATATGGGATCGTATGCCCTCTTTTGGTTCATAGATGTACATGTAGACAAGACATCTGTATACATAAAAGAATGAAATCTTGGAAAAATATAAAAACAAAACAAAAGGGAATTCCTGAGTTCATATATATAGGGCAGCTTTTTGAGAACTCAAACTTCCCATCTGGTTGTTGTTGTTTAGACACAGGAGAGTTCCTACTCCAATTCTTATTTTTAAAATATGTATGTATGTGTATATGTGTGTGTATGTATGTATGTATGTATGGGTGCTTATATTTGCACATGTCCCTGAGGAGGCCAGAAGAGGGCGCTGAACTGAACTCAGGTTTTCTAGAAGAACAGCGAGTGCTCCCCATCTGCAGTCCTGTGGTGACCCTGCATTTGTCCCAGGAAAGACTTCCTCTGGGGGGCAAACTGTCACAGCTGCATGCAGGTAAAACACATTGTGTGCTGCTTTCAGCTTGTGTTTGTGTCTCCACAGTACCAGCCCCAAGGTCCAACTCCCCACTTATGGGCCAGTACCTACTTTTTTATATACCTCAGAGACTTATTTTAAATGTATTTCTGTTCTTTAGCATACTAATACAGTACTTGAGAGAAGAATCTGTAATTGATTTTTCTCATGTTTGTATTCATACATAGATTTTGATGAATAGAATTTCTTTTTTCATTAATAATTACCTAATAGGCTATTAATTGTGCTTAGCCATAATTTCTATTGATTAATCCTGGTAGGATGAAGAATGTATTCATTAAAGTTTTGTTTTTTTGTCATAGATTCTATAAAGTGACCTCAACCAATAAATTTTCAATTTAAAGGAATTTTTAAACCGATTTTATCTAACAGTTTTGAAATGGAGCAAGTGAATGGCCAGCCAAGTGTTTGGAAAAAGATTTTCTCCATTGTTCTGCAGGGAAAGGAAAGCTTTAGGGTTTTTTTTTCACAGTCACTGCCATTAGGAGGCCAGTGTATCTCTTCTTAGAGTTTTATTGACTTGTTAAGAGAATGGAAAAAGAATGGATCAAATGCAGAATGTATTTTGTTCCGTGTCATTTGCTTTATGTTTTATTTGGATCAACTTTTATTCATTAATTTTTTTTTGCAAAATGATATTTCTTCCATGAAGAAATTACTAGTAATGAACTGTGAAGTGAATCTGCCTTTCTTCTTCCAACCTTGTTCATTTGATGCTGAGAGTAGCACCGGGCACCACATTATGGAATGGCTCCTGGGTGGAGAAGAGCTGTGTTTGTTGAAGAGCACTGGGATGGTAATGTTGACTGTCAACTTGACAGGATCCAGAATAATGATAGTGACAAATCTCTGAACATATCTGGATTGGGTTGAGTTTGAAGACCTACCTCAGATGTGAGTGGCATGATTCTGTGGTCCTGGACTGAGTGAGAAGAAGGCAGGTGAGGCACCAGCATCCATCCTTCTGCTTTCTGACTGTAGATGCCGTGTGACCAATGTGGATGCGCTGTGGTCATGCCTTCCCTGTCATGGTGAACTGTGCCTCGGCCCATGAGCCCACACAAGTCATTTCTTCCTTAAATCTCACTTGTCAGGCATGTTGTCACAGCAGTGAGAAAAATAACCAACTCAGAGTTCAGAGCAGCAGGTGGGCCAAGTAGAGTGACCTTAGACTGTGAGGATACAAAAAAGTAACTGCTAATACATCACAAACCATGCTGTATTGTAACAGGCAAGTATCAGTGTCTGGGAAATATTTCCATTAAAGACAACTTTAAAAATCCTTTCTTCGTCTTTTCTCAAATCCACTTATTTTAAATTAGTGACATAAAATTATTTATAATTATTATTTACAGCATAATTTTCACTATATATTGAAAGTATAATATATATTATACACACACACACACACACACACACATATATATATATATATATATATATGTATATAGTGGTGGTATTGTGTTCCCCAAAATATTGTGCACCCTAATAAACTTTTCTAGGGTCAGAGAATGGAACAGCCACTAGATACAGAGGCTAGAAAATGGTGGCACTCACACCTTTAATCCTAGCATTCCAGTTTTGTCTGGATCTCTGTGAGTTCAAGGCCACAAGGATACAGCCAAGCATGATGACTTACGCCTTTAATCCCAGAAAGTGAGTCTTTAATTCCAGGGAGTGATGGCAGATAGCAGAAAGGTATATAAGGCATGAAGACCAGGAACTAGAAGCTTTTGCCTGGTTAAGCGTTCCGGCTTTCAAGAAGAAGTTCAGCTGAGATTCATTTGGATGAGGACTCAGAGGCTTCCAGTCTGAGGAAACAGGATCAGCTGAGGAACTGGAGAGGCGAGGTAGCTGTGGCTTGTTCTGCTTCTCTGATCTTCCAGCACTTACCCCATATATAATATGTGTGTGTGTGTGTGTGTGTGTGTGTGTGTGTGTGTGTGTGTGTGTATATATATATATATATAAATATATATATATATATATAAATTTATGTATGTGTTGAAGTAGCTAATTCTAGTAAATAATA